GCTCCTCAACCTGTCTGTGCAATTGCCCATTCCCTCCTGTAGCAAATACTATAGCTCACAGCCTAGGAGGCTCTGCCTTGTCCTTCCTCTTTCCCAGAAGACTCTGATTTTGTTAAGGCTCCTTGACCTCATGTCTCAGGGGTCTACATTCCTTGGTTTAAGTATGGACATGGGATGCTATTCTAGTTGATGAAATAGAAAGAAAGCATTTCAATGGGATTCCCTCCAGAAGAGACACATAAAAAGACAGTATAAAAACTGTCTTTTCTTCTACTAGACACGATAGTTTTGGGGTGAGTTGGATTTCTGTCCCTGCAACCAAATGAGCACTAATACAAGGAAGGTGGCAAAAGCAAGATAATTTCTACCAAACTAAGATACAGGGTGTTGATGGTAACATTTTAAAGCCAGTTGTTAGAGCCAAGGCACTTACCGTGTTTTGGCAAAGTAGACTTGGTAGGGAACCCCCTAGGCCCCAAAGCTAAGGCTCGGTGGGTTTCTGCAGACTCAGAACAGTGCTGTTCCTGAGATCAAGGCTAAGTCTGTTGTCCTGTCCCACAGCTAAGGGCTGTGGCCTTGTCTGTGGGGTAAGGAAACCAGAACATCTAACAGTGAAGCGAGAACAGCTCCGTCTGTAAAAGGGGTTCTTATACCTGTGAAGATCCGGAAACTGATGGGAGCTACTGGAAGCAAGGAATAGAATGAAACTAAGAACATATGAAGCGGAGTTTTCAGTACAAGCTATGAAACAGACACAGAGGCGCATGACATATGAGAGAAACAGAGGCTTTGAATTCACTGTTGCACCAGTCCCAGTTCTGCGACTGCCTCGCAGGGATTCAGTTTCCAAATCTCTGTATTTCAGGTTTCTAATTTGTTAAGAGAAGAAAGTAATCCTTACCTTTTAGGGCCATCTAGTAGAGTGCCTGACTTATAATATGCCCTCAATAGAACAGATACTTGTTATAAAAATTATTATACATTAACAACGAGGATACTAAATTAGTCCATTATCAGATGAAAGTTTTAATTCTGCTAAAGGAAGACCCAGCAGCCAATGTCTTGCCTTGCTTTTCTGACAGTTTAACGTCTCATGAGATGGAAGAGATAATTCTCAAGTTGTGCAGTGTGAACTAAGTAGTTTTTTAAAATAGCGGTGGAATCTTCGGAAAAGGTAACCACACAGGAGACATTGTGGTCCCTGTCACCTCTGACCCATGTAATCGTGGACAAATTACTTAATCTCTTCGAGCCTCAATTTTTTCCTCTATGAGACACAAATAATATCTATCATATACAGTAGATGGAAAAATCTACAAAATACTACTGACATGTATTAGGCACCCTGTAAGTAATACCTTTTCTTTATTATTACTGTAGAAATTAGACTGGTAGAATTCACAAAGTCAAGTGAAAAGAGAAATGGTCCCGAGACTGAAACTTTCAAAGAAGTAGGCCAGTATGAAGAAAATTTATCAGGAAAATAAACTGCATTTACTCATGGTACTATACCTATTGGGATGCTAAGTCCACATCTCACATAAGTTGCCTTTTCTCCTTCCCTTTGCTTAATTCTGTAATGACAAATGACTCCAATGAGAAAGACAAGGAAAGGTGTGGGAGGAAAGTATTGGGACTGTAAAGAAGTTCTCTTATGAGCTGAATTTGTGTGTGTGCACGCAGGCTTGAGCCCAGGACATACTGTACCTGCACGTTACCACTGAGCCGCACCCCCAGCCAATTAGCTGACATTTAAAAGGTTGAGTGACAAGTATAACAGGCACCTCTTTAGATTTTGACAGTATAGCTTGGTTGCTGCAGTAAGCATATTACACAGACTGTATTCTTTCATTCTTTCAGCTTTGGGCTTACAAATTATTAGATGACCGCATAATGGATATATGCTTGTTATTTTCCTGCACGTCCAACCTCCAAAGCCTTTGTACCTCTGGGAAACAAGCCGTCCAGTGAAGCAGCCCTCTGGATCTCACTGACGAAAGCCAAAATGCCTTGGTATCAGTTCTCCCTGATTGCTGACTGCTTGGGACTCAAGCACGACCTATCAGCCATTCTATCTTAGGTCGTGATCATGGAGAGAGGTGTGAAGAGAAGCAGGCAATGTGTAACATTAATCAGTTTTAGTGAACTGCATATTTGGTGCTGTGTGACAGTGGCGTCAGCTGTGTCACCCCACTCTTAGGGCTAGGGTACCCGTGGCAGGTAAGCAGCATTGCCAGTGTCTAGAGAAGCATCCTTTTTGCGGTCTGGTTTCTTCTGTAAATCTGACATTTGACCTCTTCATTGTCAACATATACTCCTAGCCTGGTTCCCCAGCCTTCCTACTGATTCTTTGAGCTCCCCACCCTCTTTAAATGGATTCTTTTCTGCTTCATTTAACCATCAGAATCAATTTTTTTGCTTACAGCCAAAGACTCTAGCTAGTACATAGTTTTTAGGGAATGATTAACCCACAAGCATCTGAGCTTGCTGCTTTTACTAAAGATCTCTGAATAGCCATGGTCAAATTTGCAACTGGTTTGGGAGTTCCACCTGGACTCTGCAAGTGCTGTGAACTTTAGGAGAATGAAGAAACACCAGGGATAGGATTTGTTTCTTGGTTCTCTAATGTCTGCTACCCTACCCTATACTACATCTTTCTGTGCCTCCCACAATTTAACTCCTACTCACTCAATAAACACTGTGTACAAGGCTGTAGGCCAAGCATGGAGAGGAATCCAAAGATCAGTAATGCTAACAGTATAGTTTTGAAGTTTGAGCTATTCTTTTAAAAAAATAGATAAAAATTTTAAAATTGACCACTGTTGATGGAGGAAGGAAAGGAGAATACTTTTTATCTTTGGGTTTGTGTCACTGGAGTAAGGTGATGTCCATTTCTTTGAAACTGTTCTAGAAATCAATCTTATAAGGCATTTGCATTCCTTTTTAAGAGATTTCCAATCAAAACCAAATAAGTAGTTCTCCTAAAGGATTAAGGAGACAATGCCTCTTCTGAAGCTGACATGTAGATTGCTGCTCACCAAAATATCCATGCTTAGGATGAGAAACGGAAAAATCAGTGCCAGTGCTTTAGAAATTTCCCTCAAAATAACCCAAGATCTCAGAATAGAATCAAAGAAATGTTAGTTTCAAATAAAAATTCTCCCATCCCTTTTGTTCTCTTCAAATTGCCAAATACACAGTTTGGACAGCAACTGGCCAGAGGTGTTGACATTTGTACTTGAAAACACAGACTGATCAACCCAAGGACGGAAGAAGGGCACACATTCATACTGAGAACTGAAACACATAATACGCTGATTCCACACAGCCAGGAAGAGCTGGACACACCTTGCAGGAGTGTGAACTGGGGGCTGAACAGTTGCAAGACTCTTACCCTCAAGCAATGAGGAGGTCTGGTCTAGGATCGGACTAGGTCTGGGTGTCAGCTCTTTACTTCCCAGGTGACTTTGGACAAGCCACTCAACACTCCAGGATTCAAATTCTCAACTAACATGTTAGAGTAGATAAAATATCAGATAGTTGGAAGGATCAGTCTTTATCTACAGCATCCCAGTAACTATCTCTGCTTGAGGGCTCCCTCCTAGTGACAGGCAACTGATGGCATTTTTAAATGCTTGTTTACAAACATTTCTCCTTGTTCTGGGGATATAGCTCAGCGGTACAGTACTTGCCTGGCAAGTGAGGTAATAAGTTTGATTCCTGGTACCAAAAAAACCCCACTAATGTTCCTCCTTACATATTGAATTGTGATGTTTCCCTTACAACTTTTTATAGCCTGGTAACCTCTACAATCATTCAGGTTAGGTCTAATCTTTCTGTTTGTTTTTTTGTTTTTGTTACCAGGAATTGAACTCAGGACATGCGCTTGCCCTTGTGCTTGTGCCACTGAGCTATATCCCCAGCCCAGGTCTAATCTTTCTATTTACCTATCTTTCTTTCTTTCTCTTGGAGGCAGAGTCTCACTGTGTAGTGCAGGCTGGCCTTGAACTCGGTTATGTAGCCTGGGTTAGCCTCAGCCTCCCGAGTGCTGGGATTACAGGCGTGTGCCACCATGCCCAGCTCAAATCTAATCTTTAAAAGGCTCTCAGCTTCTCTTGCATTTTCCTCCATTTTTCTCTTCCACCTCTTGCCTTCAATTGCTCTCAGTAGTCACGCTCAAGACAGGACACTATTCTGGCCATCATATTTTAAAGGATGTGGAGTAGTGGCTAAGCATCTTGAATCCCATTCTGAATTTGAATATTGCTCCTGTCACTTAGTAGAGGTGTGACCATAGGCAAGTTATTTTTATCTTTCTGGCATGGGTTTCTCTCTCTAAAATGAGAATAACGATCATACCCATCTCTTAGAGAAGTTGTGGATGAGACAACTGAGACCAACAGTACAAGCGAAATGGTTAGTAAAGCACCTGGCACTTAGCAATATCACTGCTTCCAATACCACTGATAAATAATAATAAGCCCTAATAATGAGAATAGCAACAGAAATTAGAACTGACAGGGTGTGGTGGTGCTCACCTGTAATCTCAGCACTCAGGAGACTGAGAGGCTGAGGCAGGAGGACGTTGTGTATAGGGTGAGTCCTTGTCCAAACAAACAACTGTTCTGTTCCCACAAACAAAGTTTGGTTGTCCTGATACATTCACAACAGTTATCGCTTTCAAGTGTGTGTGCAGTGTCTAGGACAGGAGGCCACATTCTCTCCAGGCAACTAACTGCATCTTAGATGCTCGGATAGGAACGTTCTTCCTTACATACTGAATGCGACGTTCTCCCTAGGGCTTTTCCCATCCTGCCTGCCAGCCAAGCCCACAGCTTGCCTGCGCTGTTAACCTTGGGGTCTCCAGTCTCACGCACTCTGGCGAGCAGGGCCCCGCGCCTGGCTCCCGGGGGGAGATGGAGAACTCTTGGCGAGCTGTGCGGGGAGATATGGGCGAGAACCGCGGGGGGTCGGGGGGCGCGGGTAAAGTAAATCTAGGCCCAGCCCTGAATCTCGGCGATCCCGACAGACGCACAGAAATCTAGGGACGCTAGGACCAGCGTTCCCGCCAGGTGGCCCCAGCGCGGGCCCCTGTTTTCGGGGTGGCGAGTCCGGGGTGCGGCGCTAAGCCCCGCCTCGGTGCTTGGTGCGGGCCGCCGGCCAGGGCCAGGCCACCAGCGGCCTGGCGGACTCCAGGAGCGGGGAGCGGAAACAAGCCGGCTCGGGACAGAGGATTAACAAAGGCAGGACCGGCCGCCCCTCGCAGCGCGCACGCAGCGCTGGGCAGAGCCCCCTGGCGGGGGAGCTCGCGGGTCGGTGAGTCCGGGGCGCGGCGGGGCGTTGCGAGGCGCGCATCGGGAAAGCGGCAGGGGGCGGAGGCAGGGGCGCCCGCCCGCCCAGCTCTGAGTCCTGGCTCCGACAGCCGCGCGAGCCGGCTGATCAGCGCGGTCCTGCCGACCCGGGGACAGGTGGGAAACTGGGGCCCACGGAGGTGAGCGGGCCGGAACAAAGTAACAATCCTTGCGTCTTTTTAAACTCTTGCCTGCTGCTGTGTAGGGCGCGAGGGGCTTTCAGCGAGAGGCTATACCTTGAAACAATGGAAAAATACAGTGATAAGAGTCCTCGCCGAGGAACTGTAATTATGACAGTCAAGGCCAAGGGAAAAGAACATAAATCTGCGGCCACGGGGTGAGCCGGCTTCACGGGGGCCCTCAGAAAGTAGCCCTAAGTGGGTCCAGAACCCGGGACGTGCGGCCCTGCCCGAAAGCGAGAGGGGAGTGGACCTCAGCGGCCCGCGCAGGCCCGGTGCCCGCCTTCCGCCCGCGCGGCCCGGAGAAGCAGGTGTGCGCCCCGCACGGAGGGATCAGACCCCGGTACGCAGTTCCAGGTCTGCGGGAATCCCAGCCGCATCTCAGAGCAGCTTGTTCGCTCCTTTAGAAAGGCGGCCCGCGTGCTCGCTTCTGCAGCGCATATACTGAAATTAGAAAGGCGGCCCGCGGAGGGGCGCGCGGGGTCCTGACACTGCTACCTGTGCGAGCTGGGACACGCACTCGAATCTCTTCAGGGCCCAGTTTTAGTTAAAAACTGGAGATGAGATTGGCTGCTTTGCGCTCCTGGTTCTTGTTGGGCTTCAGAATGAATGCAAGTCCCGGTGGGCATGTAGTGAGTAACCTAGGTGCTCCGTAGGAGAGCTGAGAGGCACAACTGTGCCAGTTAGGGAAGGAAAGAAATTGGGCTGTGTACAAGATAAAATGAAGTGAAAATTTAAAAATCATAGACCTGAAAATATAAAGCCAACCTGACCATGACTGCAACCCTGCTATGCAGCATTTCCTAGTGAGAAGAGCTCACGTAAGGGTGCAGGAAGCGCTGTACTGTATTCGGCGTCTGACCTGAGGTGAAATGCAGAATACTCTACAAAGAGCCGTGGGGCGGGGGAGGAGTGAGTCTCACTGCGTTCCCCAGCTCTGTGGTTCACGTGATCCTTCCACCTCTGCCTCTCCAGTAGCTGAGGCTACAGGTGGGCCTGGCTCCCGTGCCTCTTACATAAAGCTGGCACAATATGGTTTGCTTTTCGAGAGAGGAAAGAGGGCATACACTGGACCCGAGCAACACCCAGCTTGCACAGTAATGGAGGCTTGCGGAGTCTCTGCCACGGTAGAGGCGTTGCCAACAGCTGGCTCACGGCCCGCTTGGATCAGCAGCTGACTGTGGCAAACACTGTCTTGGTTGATTGTGCTGTACTGTAGAACAAATCAATGGCTTTTTATTTAACTCATGAGGAGGGGTGAGCCTTTGGGGGCTGTCACAGAAGCAGAATGGCATTCGTTGAGCTTATTGTCCGAAGACCATTGTTTGTTTATTGTCAGGCTTAACAACTTTAAATCTGTGAGTCTAAATTGCGAGGACAGGGCCTGGGTAGACTCATTTACCTAAAAAGAACTGCTGTTAAAAAACACTGTGTTGTCTCCTTTCTCTACCTTTTTAGGCCTTTCAAAAGGACCCAGGGAAACATGGCTAAGGCCAAGTAGCTGCTGTTTAATTTGGGTGAAGACGTGTACCACCTGTCCGGTGGGTTGCATTCCTCTCCACAGATTTATAAAGGGAAGATTTTGCTCACAGAGAGACAGAATGCGTGTGTGTGTGTGTGTGTGTGTGTGTGTGTGTGTGTGATTTCTTGCTCTACCACCTCCCTCCCAAACTGTCATTTCTCAATCCAGAAGAATCCTTTCTTGTCAACATGGTGACTTTGGCATGTTCCTCCCTTCCTGGCTTTGTGGTCTGATTTTGTTTCACAGTAATTTCTTAATCCCAGCACTCAGGAGGCTGAGGCAAGAGCATTGCTTCAATTCAAGGCCAGCCTGGGTTACAGGGTGAGTTCAAGCTAGTCTGCACTACAAAGTGAGAACCTGTCACAAACAAACAAACAAACAAACACATAGAATTTTCAGTAAAGGGCAATGGCTGTTTCAGGCAAAGGCTCTTCCTTATTTGGAGCCACAGCCCCTCTTCCATATCCACCCCTTCATTCCTTATAGGACATGATTAAGAGTAGAATTTCTCAAGAAATTATTTCTAGTACTCTTGCATCAGGATCATTTGGAGGTGTGTTAAAAGCCCCACCCAAACCCAGTGAACCAGAATCTTCAAGAGTGGGGCCAGTAATTTGTACCTTCGTAAGTGTTGCTTCTGGTGATTCTTATGCACCACTGATTACGTGTGTGTTGGGGTGGGGATTAGTGGGGTGGACTATGAACTCTTCTTTATACCTTTCTGTGTTGTTTGTCTAGTTATATGAGCAAGAGCCTCCTTCGTTATCGAAACAAATGTTTTCAAATGTTGACCAAATCAGATATATGAGTGGCAAATAACTGCTGTACTTGAAAAGATGCTGGAGATCCTTAAGGATTACAGAAATGCACATGAAATCCACAATGAAATCTTTCTTCCTACTTTTAGGGTGGCTTAAATTTTTAAAAACTGACAATATCCAGTGTTGTTAGCAGGCATAGAAACTGAAACTCTTTATATTATTGGCAGGAGAGTAAAATCATACACACACTGCTTTTTTTTTGGCTTTGCTGAGGGCAGCCAAGCACCCTACCACCGAGCTGTACCCTATCTCTTTTTATTTTGAGATGGGGTCTTGCCAAGTCAAGTAGGCTGGCCTTTAACCTGCAATCCTCCTGTTTCAGCCTCTCAGGTAGCTGGCATTCTAGATGTGTGTCACCACACCTGACTTATATACTGACCTCTTTCCATATTAGTAGTCTCTTATAATGTTAAATATACACCTACTATGTGAGCCAGACATTCCACCACTAGGTCCAGTTTTATTGTAATAGTGAAACGGGAAACAGCCAGATGTTTATCTAGTGTACTGATGAAGAAATTGTAGTGTAGTGTAGTGTAGTATATTTTTGTTTGTTTGTTTGTTTTTCTTCTGGTACCGGGAATCGAACTCACGACCTTGCGCTTGCCAGGCAGGCGCTTTGCTGCTGAGCTAAATCCCTAGCCCCTGTAGTGTATTCATAACAGAATACTGCTCAGCAATAAAAATGATAAAGTATTGATACAGTGTACCACCATGGATCTCAAAATGATGCTTTGAAAGCAAAAAGGGGTATATATTGTATACTTTCATTTCACATAAAATTGAAGGCCACTTGCTATCCCTCTCCTGACCTCAGACTTTGGGTGGCTTCCGGGAACCAAAGAGTTGAGTAGATCCTCTTGGTCTAAATCCACTTGCAACACCATCATTGGCGGTTTGCCCATTATTCTGTTGGCGTGTGACTCCCTTTGCTCTCTGCTTCCCAGGCCTCCATGCCATGGGCCACCTTCCTCCCCCCACGCCCCTCTGCCGGACAGTTTCTGTGTTTAAGGCTGCCAAACACAAACAAAGCCTCTGAAAACATGAGCCCGAATAAATCTCTCCGTACTCTGTTGCTGTCAGGTATTGAGTCCCAGCGGTGAGGGAGGGGACTCAGACAAGCAGTTTTATTAGTCCTGAGCATATAGTGAGGTGTCGCTCCCCACTGCCTCCAGCCCCAGCTAGTGGGTGTCAGGAGGTAATGGCGCCTTGCTGGGGCAACGTGGGATGCACAGGAGTACAGCGTTCTTTGATATACTGATGTAGTTGACTTCCAGGAGGGGAATGAGGACATGCTTGCATGACCTGCTTCCTGTTTCTCTTAACCTGTGCTGATGCCAAGTGATCTCTGATTCCCTTTCTAAGGGCCAACAAACTATTTGTTTTACTCAAGCTGAGCTATATCCTCAGCTATTTTTATCTTTCATTTTGGAAACAGAGTCTTGCTAAACTGCCCAGGCTGGCTGGGCGTGGTGGCAACACACCTGTAATCCCAGCACTCGGGAGGCTGAGGCACAAGGATCATTGTGAGTTTGAGACAGGCTGGGCTACAAAGTGAACTCAGGGCCACCCTGAACTGTCTCAAAGAAGACTATAAATGAATATGAATGAATAAATGAATGAATTGCCCAGGCTGGACTTGAACTCATCATCCTCCTACTTCACCCTCCTGAGTAGCTGGGAATACAGGTGTGTGGCACAGTACTTGGCTCCTCAGTTCAATTTCTGGGGTAGTTGGTCAAATCTGTAGACAGGTTCTGCCACATAGTTCTTATTACTTGCTATTATTATCATCATGATTAGCTGTTCCATCTGCTTGAATTTGAATGTATCCAGATCAGCCAGGTGTCTTAGATAACTTTATCCACCTAATCAATGATAGTGCTACTCTTTCTAGTTTAACAAAAATTGTAACAAAAAGCAACTGCTACTGTTATTGAAAGCTTACCATGTACCAGGCACTCTGTTCCCATTTTACATGGATTATCTTAAGAAATCTTCCATCAACCTATAAGGAACACTTACATAAATATCCTAGGAAGCCAGCCTCTTGATCACAGCCAGAATTTGAAATCAGGTTTCTCTGGCTGCAGGGCCCAGGCTCCTAAACTACACAGTCCTCTCACAAGAAGAGAAAAGCAAAGGCCTCAGATCATGTGCCTACCTACTTCTGAACACGAATCTTAAAATCTACTTGGTAGCCATGGTAGAGGGAGGGCTTGGGAGATGATTCTTGTATTTGTCAATCCTGAATCCTTCTGGGCTTTAGAATTCTGGAAGTTCTTTTATAGAACCCTTCCTCTATTGTTGGTATCTTTCCTTATTGCAGAAGCCCTTTTTCTCGCCAGGCGTGGTGGTGCACGTGTATAATCCCAGAACTCAGAAGGCTGAGGCAGGAGGATCACTGTAAGTTCAAGGCTAGCCTGGGCTGTAAAGTGAATTC